ACCGTGGATGGCTAAAACGACTGAAAAAGAATACTGCAAAAGTCAATTTAAAAAAACAAATGAAACTCAGAAAATGACAATGCTCGGTGGACGGATATACACGGCAGGAAAATTACACCAAACAGTGACAACAGGTAAAATGTAGAAAATGCCGGATAGTTCAAGAAACCGACATGGGATATTCAACAACGAAATTAATGATGTACATATGTTATTGCCAAAGATGACGCCCAATGCGTGCTGACAAGGTATTTGATTAGTATGGGTAAGAAAGCATCCTCATTTACCCATTATGTTATATATACCCACCTTAGAAACCGGATGTCCACACGTGTGATGCAAGTTGGCAAAACTGCTCTCTAAATTAAAAACACCAGCTGAACTGTGTTAAAAAAGCATTATAACGCGTCCTAGCTGTCTCGACCGTTAGTCAGAGCGAACGTTCGTAAGAGATAGCACTACCCGCATGCAGAGTAGCTCCTCGAATTAGGAACGTTGCGGGCTAACGTGAGCTAGCCGCCAGACGTACACACGAGCTAAGACTGGAGACGAGATACGCGTAACCTAGCGCTTCCGCGCTAAGACCCGAATGAGAAAGACTGGCCGGCACATCAGTTGTCACACAGTGGCAATCTCAGTAAGTGTCAGCACGGCTTAGTGCGATAATCGCCGCACTGTACTGAAGAGAGTTCGCTAGGTTCACTGCAGCTTACACAGTAGATGCATCGGCGTCTTGAATGGAGTTCAGCTGGTTCACTGTGAACGGGCATCAAATTTCTGAGGTTGTTAGTTGTGCAGTCCAAGTCGTCGTATGGCGATTGTATGTTTGAGGTGAGCCCGGCGAAATCGGCGTAGGTTTAGCGGAGCTATGTCGGCTCCGCAAAGTAAAGTCTGCCCGGCCTGGCTTTTACACCGTAAATAGCCAGTTGCGCGCGGGTAATTCATTTTCCTACCTAGCAGTTACCAGACGAGATTAGTGCGCGCTGAGAAAGCACCAGAAAAGTTTAAAATATAAATTTTGTTATGTGTTATCAAAACCCACTTTTCACACCATGGCCGCTTCAAAGATGTTCCCATCCCAGGGCCCCACGGGAATTCTCGATGGCCTTCTTGGGGCCATATGGCTCCCGTTGAGAATGGCTGACTTAGATGGTCATCGACCTGTACCCTCCAGTTGCGCCCAAGGAGAATGATGCAGTAGCACTGTACAATCTCAGCTTGTGGAGCAGAACTTAATGTTCCACCTTGGCAACGGCTGTACTGAAATCGATGTAGACCATGGTCCATTGCCTGCAACCATTCATGCATTTTCTCGAATAATTGTAATACATAAGCGGCCTAGCATGAAACCGTGCTGAGCGGGCATCACTTGGCTAGAGGTCATTGATAATTATGAGATGAAACAGAGAACATAGCCATGGTTAACTCAAAAACCGTGGTTGATTACAAGGGGTGGTGGTCATGGAGGTTTTATAGTTACTCAGCTACTAGTAGAAATACAGTTAAACTACCAACATGCTAGTGAAGACTCAGTTACCGCAATTGCAGAAATGAGCTAACAGCGGACGAATCGCACAAAAAACAGCAATAAAAATAACCAAGATTGATAGATTCCACTGCACCATTAACTGATCCAATCACATAGGTGACAGACACCGCTAGGGGATTGGATATTAATCGGGGCTGAAACAAGGGGGAATTTGAAGGATGAACTCATCGAAATGGAAGCATCAACAAATTGTCGAGAGGGAGAGGTTATATTCGACAAAATTGCAATACCGGTATGTGATAAAACAGATAACTGCAAACAACTAAGATGTAGGAAAAGACATCAACGAAAAACTAAGGATTTCAAGAAACGGAGGACCGCACGTAAGTTTGAAGAATGTTTACATGTGAGGAGACGGAAGCGAGGGAAAAGATAAAGTTATGAACTTGAATATTATGACGAAATTTACTCAATATGAAGATATCACAGGAAATGGAAAGTTTAATGCAAAGGCCACCGGAAAATCAAAAAGCTGTTTGAACATCGACTGTCACGCGCAGGAAGTCAGAGAGTAAGTGCAGGTGTAAGGTTAGGAAGACTGGCAGCTATTCAAATCATTAAGAAACAGGCGCAAGGCGAGATGAGATACCGCGTGAATGCGAGACGGAGAAAGAACGTGACCAGTAGAAGAAATACATCATGGTGAGGGAAGAGCCCAACACACGGCGCTCTTGTCCGCACTAGTTGTGATGAACGACAGCTGCGAAGGATGCCAACGAGCTTGGATAATTTTATCCGCGTGTTCGGCAAGGCGGACACAGGGTAGAGGTTGTGACAGATCTCCTGGAGTAGACAAAATTGGAAGGCAAGGGAGTAGGGTAAGAAACTTGTCAAGGAATTTGGTATGGAAGAGAAGTAATGTATGATGGAAGTCGGTGGAGTTGTATCCAATTCACAACAAGAACTAATAGGCTATCTGGATGGTGTTGAGCAAGTATACCGACAATTTTGGATCAGAGATCTGATTCAATAGTGTTCGTAAATGAAAACAGCATTATTGCACCCTGTTTTTATTCCCAAAATTTCTGTGGATACAATATTTGAGGGGATAACATAACAACTGGTGGTCAAATTAACAAAAGGTACTAGAACTCCTTCGATGCTAGGGTATGATTCCCGTATGCCCGAAGATCAACTTCCTCCGAATGCAGTATATGCCATCGATTCGACTAGCTGGGCGAAAGTGCAATATCAAGTCGATGACATCGCATAAAAGCACGAAGAAGTTGACCGAAAGAGCTGGTCAGGTTAGTGTGTAAGGTCTTGGTTGATGAGGTCTTCGGGAAAAGCCACACCAGTGCTCGTAGACACTAGGTAACATGGCGAAGTCCCATGATTTCTGATGGCTCTATGTCTATAAATGGGTTTTCAGTCCAACAGCGTGTAATCTTCGGGATACAACGTAATCAGTGTACCAGTTAGATAAACATGGAAAACAGCTCAGCTATTGTGTCGTAATACATGAGGGGAAAGAAGACAGGCATACCCGTCGAGCCATAAGGAACGGATAGACATTGTTGCTGGGAATTAGTAGCCAGCTATTGTGAAGGCTAGAGATGGATACTAAGCTGAAGAACGGCTCCTAGCAATAGCAACAAGCGCATCCAGCCAAAAATGTTCGTCGTCATTCGGGCACCAACCGACGCCAACTCTGAACTGAGGACCATCGTTTCTTTTGACTATGTCATAGCTCGGCATTTCCTCCGCTTCTTACATTCACACACTGGTCAAGAAAAAACGTACGTCGCGGGAGTCATAAGGCTGGTATGCGTAACATGTGGCCAAGCCATAGGAGCGTGGCTCGTGAAACAACGGTGCTGAGCAACTCATTTCCTCCTCCTGTGGCGCGAACAAAGCGCGGAACACGTTCAGTGCTCACACGGTGTTCCCACCAGATATGAGCCAAACTGCGGAGATTCCGGTATTCGAAGGTAACTAGCGTCGTTAGGTCCGCTGATCTAATGAGCTAGATTTTACAACCGTACAGCAAGATCGAACGTACGGTTGCATTATGCGCTCTATCCTTCAGGGAGAGAATGATGTCGCGCCAGCACGAGGTGGAAAAGGTTAGAAAGAGCACTAGAGCTTTTGTTGTACGACTCGTGACTTCGTCTTCGATTCCACAGGTGCTCATACAACTATCCAGGTAATATTTTGGTGTTGCTCATCTCAACACTGGCACCCAAAGACCGCGCTTTCGTCCTGGTTCGGATTCATCAGTTGGATAGCCTGAGCTGCGGTGGAAATTAAAGCTTAGTGTTTCACGGCTAACGCCATAAACACTATGCCACTGAGATCCGCAAGCAACGCTTGGTACAGCGAAAATGAATTTAAAGTTGGACTTGGATAATCCACTGTGATAACCGAGGTCCCAACAGAGGTTGCTCGTAGAAACCCGACCACAAAAGTCGCAAACAGAAGTCTCTAGTACCTGATGAGTAAACAAAAGGCGTGGAGAGGTGGAGAGTGAAAAGCACGAGAACAAAGCGATTCGAGTAGATAAATAGAAACTGCGTGTCCATAATAGGCTTAAACGAATTGTGGCCTCCAACCTATTGGATCGTATGGAGGTTGCAGTGATGACCTAACTGACAGCACTAAGCCGTTTCCACTCAATACTGATCACTGCTCAACGAGCTGTACAGTGTGCCTACTAGCTTAAACACGAGTATAATCGCACAAGTCCGAAGATAAGTTCACGAAAGTACTCGTTCTACATAATGAATACGGAAATTGGAAGGCAGAAGGTAGACAACTGTTTCTCCATCGAAAGAGTATCGGGCACATGCGCGGAACAGAGTCATTTATTAGCACGCACTGTTTTGGGAGTTCCGAATCAGGTGCGATGCAGTCTTGGAATCTGTAACCCGCAAAGTGCATGACTAAAAATTTCTAGAATTCCAACAACGATTTTCTCTCGAATGCTGTCTGGGACAAACGTTCCAGTATTTCATGACACAACATTCAAAGCATAGAGGATGAGCTATTCGCTTAAGTTCCAGTGCTACAAGCTTGTATAGGTGCCCGCAATTGGTGCATGTTGAGTGCGCGCGCAGTAGTGGTTTCAGCATAGGAAAGTCACACAAATTCAAAAGCCGGTGCATGATTATGAGGTCAACTTGAGACCGACGATATGACAGGATGTGCAGCCCCAGTCTCATGCATCGGTTTCCATACGACATGCTCTGTAGACTGGGGATGAGTGTGGAAACTATATGCTGAACACGTTCCAGCCTACGTAGCTATCCATGGGGAAGCGGATAACAGGCGGCTAAACTGTACTGCAGTATTGGTCATAGGTTGGAAAAGAAGAGATTTCCTAGGACAAAAAATATAGAAGTCATGTTTTGGCGCTAAAAGCATGCGTAGTACATGTGGATGTAGTCTGTTCGTGTTATGCACGAACATCAAATCGTGAAGTGAGAGTACATCTAAGTCATTCAAGCGAAGGTTTAGGATGCAGCGGTTGACCGTCCAGTGTACATATACCAATTAACACCATTCCCAAGGCTCATTAAAAAACGACTCATTCGCCGAAAGTGATTGCTGGGCGTGAAATAAGTGGAAGCTTAAGAGACCTAGCCTTTGCGATCCGTTGTAAGGTCTTATCTGCAAGGCCGCCGCCAGCTGTGGTGCAACTCTCTAGATGACCGACGCACAGCCTTTGTTCCAAGACTTCACCAGCAATGGAGAGGGCAGGAACAGATAACTGCCAGTGCAGGAATAGTATTTTACATTTGTCTGGAGTGGAATACAGGTCATACTTAGACGCATCCATCGCTAGGCAATTCAGAGCGCTCTGGACGGCTTGTGAATCGTCCCCAAGCAAAGCGACACTACCGACGTAGTCCAAGTCCGCGACTGTCACCTGGGAGAAGCTCAATACCATAGATATGGAGCTCTTCAATGCTCGTTGGACATATTCAATGGCAAAATTAAAGATGAAGTAGGACAACGTTAGCGTACGAAGCTGGTGACACCAAAAAGAGAGGAAAGCCTGCAGCGTGCCCTCAATTTTGCCCGACGCGTGGCTGTAGAGATCCATCAGGATGGTTATAAACTTGTCGGACACCTCTTTAGTAGACAGTTCCACAACACAGATCCACTTATTAAGGCGAGTGCAGTCGGGATGTCCAAGAACACTACGATCGTTAGCAGTCGGTGGACGTGACGGGGTTCAAGAAGATGGCGGAGTATGAAGATTTGGCAGATGTAACTTCTCCGTGGACGAAAACCGGCTTGTTGCTATCAGGAAACACATTCTCTAGTCTATGAAACCCAATACACTAGGACAAATACAAAAATATTGGATGCAACAGAGATCAAGGAAATTTCGCGGTAAATGGCGCAATTCTCACTGGAGCCTTTCTTGTGAATCGGGACAATGATCGATTCGCCACATGTAATTGGGACTTTCACGTCAATCCAAGGCATGATGAACAGTGATAGGATTTCGCTGACTTGTGCATGCCCACCCTCTTTGAATAGAGCCAGGGATAGGCTGTCAGGAGCCTAATGAGCCTTCATGAGGCTTCAACGATTGGATTTCGCTTCGGATCTTTGTTTCGGTAGGAGCATCTGTGACGATAGGCCAAGCACCATCCGAGGGAAACGGTGCCACAGTGGGTTGTGCTGAGCAGTTAAATTGGAAAACAAAGCGCTCTGCCAAGCGACCCAAACGCCTGTGCAAGTTGGTGATTTTCGTCTCGTCTGACTCACGAATTGTCTGACTGACAGCATGTGAGCTGCAACCAGTGGTTTAGATTAGGCAAAATAAACCGCGGAAGTTTCCGGTCAACGCAGCGGCCCATTTTGACCACCAGGATTCAGGGTCAGAGAGAAGGCTTGACTTCAGCTGTCGATAGGTACACCGACGGAGTTCATTGTGCTCCGCATTGGCTAGCACAGCCCGTTGAGGATCCAGCAGATCGGAGGATGTTACCGAAATCCAGCTTCTGGTTGTGAGGCAGGTGAGTCTGCATTTTGATAAGCCGGTTGAAAACATGGCCCATTGCAGAGTTGACTATTGTTGATCAATATCCAGAGTGGAAGGGAAAGCGAGATTTTCGCGAAGCCTCTGTTGATACTGGGTTTTCACCGTTGGGTAGTCCAACTTGTGAGTTTTGAGTCAACTTTGTTTGGCCTCGGGTGAACCGCTGAAACGCATGCAAACTACCGCACCCAGTAATGCATGATCGGTGTCAACACAAGTTGACCAATATGATTGGCAATCGCGTACGGCGCCGCACCACCTGCGACTTATGGCTGTGATCAATTTGTGACCAGCTCTGGGTGGACGATGGAGAACGCCAAGTGGCATGGTAGCGTCTACCCTGACGAAAGATCGTACTGGAGAGGGGAAGTTGGTGGTCCGCATATAGACTGAGCAGTCTCAATCCATTGTCAGAGAAAATTGGGTCATATCCGTGCGGTTCACCGACGTGGCATTCACATGGCAGCAGCCTATCAATACGTGAGTTGAAGTCTCCTGTCATAATAATGAGTGTTTTAGGCACCATTAGAAGTAACTCATGATGTTGATAGAACTGGCCCCTGCCTGCATTCGAGCTGCAGCCAGTGGGCGCGTAGACAGAGTTCATAAAAACAGCACGCTTATCTGCTAAGCTTGCATGAGCCACGGATCCTCATAGCGCAAAGACGACTGTTGATTGGAATCCAATCAAGGAGGACGGTTGCGGCTCTAGCAATGACAGCGATCCCAACAATAGCTTGGACAGATGTGGCGGAATCTGCGTCAACCGAGAAGCGAAGATAAAGGCGGCTGTGTGGTTGGACTGGTGACAACAGCTAGCAGACTGTATTGGAATCCTACAACGGAGTTTCATTCAGGCAGCAGACATTAATTGCAAAGGTCTCCAGCTTGCTGGCCGATCTGCAATAATGTGCACACGATAAGGGCTGCTAGTTTGGACTGCATTCCAGGTTGCAGTAGCGTAGATGGCAGACTTCGGGGATGTCAGACCTCTGTCGAGTACTGTGTGGCTGAGTTGGCGGATGGCAAAAGAACAGCTTCGTCGGCGGAGGTAAGATTATTCGCAGTTGAAGAGTCAGGCACAGATGGGGAGGAATGATACAAGGAAAGCATATGTACATCATTGGCGTGTGTATGTAAAGTGGGCGTAGTCGTATGACAGATTATCAGGCGAAATAAAGAGAGCGTAGTTGTGCGTTTCCTTGATCCATCAGTAGGCGAGATACTACCCGGTTGCCTAGGCCTAAGCAGGTAGTTTGTCTTAGGGTACCACGGCCCTGAAACTTTGGCTGAAAGGCCTAACCTACAAGGCAGCAGGGCGTAATAGGAATTTCGCACCAGTTGGGAGCCGGTGACTGAACAATCAGCTCATAGGCCTCTCGGACGGCAGAAATCCACACACTCCCAAAGTCAAAGACAGAATCCGCTGCTCGAATTGCTTGCTAGTATACAATGTCTCCGAGAAGACAAGGGGCAGTGACTGTATTTAGTAACGAGTCACATCCACCACGTCACAGTGTTGTTAAACGGACATAAGTGGTTTTTATAGGGAGAACACTTGCCAAGAGTAAATCACCTACGTTCTGGTGGTCTATGAGAATAGACATCGAGGCAGTCAAAAGCATGAGAATAGGAATCAGAGAAAAAAGGATCACGTATTAACGGAAACGAAGAACATCGTCACTGCCTTTTTTCACACGCCATTTTCACGTTTGAAGGGTCAATGTTTTTGAAATCGGGCATTCACTCAAACTGGCGTGCAGTGCTTCGACTGCACCTGGTTTTGCACCACTGCCTCAAGCATCATGAGCCCCTGGCTTTCTTCATCCTTGGATCCCTAACCAGATAGACGTCTTGCGCCAACGATAGCTAGACAAGACGTCAATTTTTTCAGGCTTTGTCGCCAAGTAGTCTATCGGCCACCACGCGGTCTTCTCCAATGCAGCCCTGCGAGCGTAAATAAGCGCGGCGTTGGGCATGCGCAGGGGGTGGCAAATCCAACTTAATTAGCGTAGCAGAACAAGCCCACAGAGGAGGAAACTCATCTTGCTCAAGACACAGAAGCTAACCTCCTTGTTACGCACCCCATGTTGCCACCATACAGAGGGCGATCTTCCGCACTCACCGTCAAAGGCCGACAGCCTACGCATGTCATCGATACGGAGTGGTTAATACAGTTTTGTCGGACATGTGTGATTGTCTCATAGTTTTATCAGTACTGGAAAAACTACTGATCCCCGCATCTTCCCAGGCAATCATGCTGATGATATCATACAGTGCTGCATTTGATGGCGTCTCGTACCTGGTGCATTCCACTGAATTCGCGTTGGATAAAAGGTGCAATAGTGCATAGGTCCTATTTCTTGATGATACCAACGCAGAGCGTTACTGCTCAAGATTTTGCCCCAAATGTGGGTGGTGGGAAGCTTGATTAGTTTACAAAGCACACACACTTTAAGCAGCTTTGTGGCGGAAAGCTTTCTGCACTCCTAACAAATAGGGACATTTTGCTGACAGCAATCTTTTCTATTCGCTGCTTACGTTGGAAGTCTGCCTATTCCATCAAACTTCCCCCATCGAGGGTTAGACAAACCAGTGGCTTGATCCAGCTCCCGGTCTCTCTATCTCAACCGTTCCAACCGTTGTGACGTAACGTGCTGTTTTATACATCCCAACAGACTGTAGTCCCTTGTACATATTTCCTCTCCCATAGTTGTGGATGATAAAAGCACACCTCGTTCCTGTGCCATAAAATATCTCGGGGTTTTCCTACCTCAATTTATTGTGGTCCACACATATTCTTGAGACTTTTAAAAATGTCTGAAGGCTCTCTTTTACGACCTCAGGCTCACAATACTTTCCATTCTCCATGATTTAATTCTGAAGCATTTAATGGCACATATTATCCCTCGTTCGCCATACTACTCCCCTGTTATTTTCAAGAAATTATGCATGTTTTTGTCCGCTTTAAAGAAGACCTCCTGTCAGTGGATTAATAGAAGAACTGGTGGTTAACTCGATCGTTAACAAATATGGTGAGGTATGCAACAACTGTTGATGCAGGATTTTCAACGAGCCCTCTCAGACTTTGCATGCTATCATATTAAGCACTGTCTCCAGTTCTACCACACGGTCGCAATTTAAAGTTTTATATTCTCGTACCTCAACGTATGGAAACTCCGTCCTACCTTATCTATCATGGTGACCGGTCGATCCATCAGGAATGAAACATCACTTGCGTGACCACATGCTTGAGCGAAGATGCAGCTTTCCGTTCATGGACAATTTTACTTTCGCATTGATGTTGTTTTACACACCGTATTGTTGGTGTGGAGTGCTAAAAATGCGCCCACATTAATGAACAAAGCTTATTATGACTCTGACTTG